GACTCCATGGGACATAACAAAATATTTAATTTCTATAAACATAAAAAATATAAAAGAAAGATTGTCTTCCAGTGGTTGGGTAAAGACTTTCTGAAACTATGAATATCATGAAAAGCGGGGAGGAATTCAGCAACCATCAAGTCTTTTCTGGCCTCTGTGCATTCAAGTCTAACAAAAAACCTCCTAATTTGTGGTGCCAGCCACCCAGTCACATGCCCAACTGACTTGCTTGACATGACCAAGAGCAGGCCAGCCACCTACTGTTCTCAATCTCAAAGACCACTAACCTCAAGTCACTGTGGTCATCCTCTTAATAGTTGAGGAAAATAAAGACCAGCTCAAGCCATAAAACAGAATCCAGATTCTGGGAAGTCTGTCCAAAGAAGAACAGCAGAGTTTAAGAGGGGTCTGAAGTTCAGTGACTCTCCCCATGGCCATTTGTCCTGAGGAGGGGAAGCAAATCCATCTTTGAAGCTCTTGGACTCCTTGAATGCCTTGTTTTTTTTCTAGTCTACTCAAGAATGACCTGAAAGTTCTAAAAGTGTCAAGAAAGAAATCTGAAACTCCCTCATTAGTTTCTCCTTTGCCCCTGGCTAATTCTGAATGGCACACCAGTCAGCTGCTTTGCCTTATAAATGTGTGCAGTCGCCCAGATGGCAACCTCAGATCAACTTCCCAGGCCGGCACTGGGGGTGAAGAAACACCAGAGACCCTTGATGGGAGCCAGAGGACCACAATGTTTCCTGTGCATGTCTTTATAGAAAGTCACATCTGGCTGAAATCCAGAACCTTTGACTGTTCCAGGAAGAGAATATGAAGGATCCAGGGAATCTGTGCTGATTGGAATGCTGTGCCAGGCTGTGAGTGGACACACCATGGACACAAGCAGCACTCCTTTTTTTAATATATATTTTTCTACTTGTGTGGTGTGTGTGTGTGTGTGTACCATCAAATTGGATCTGACTGGTACAAGAGGAGTTTGTCCCTCCTTTTCCAGCAGAGTATCTAGTGGATTTGAACCACATGCCTCTTGGATTGTAGTGCACCTTCTGCCACTAAGCCACCAGAGCTCCCTAAGCAGCACTCCTTTTGTCTTTTAAGCCAATGCCTATCTATCCACCCACTGCTCAAGTCAATACTGACTCATAGCAACACTGTAGGACAAGTATAGGACAACTCTTTGGCCCCAGAGTTTCTGAGGCTGTCAATCTTTACAGAAGCAGACTCCCCCACGTTTCTCCTACAGAGCAGGTGAGAGGTGCAAACCACAAGCTGTGATTAGCAGCATAAACTTTAACCACAGCACCACCAGAGCTTTTCACTCAACACTATTGCCCATTGAGGAGTCAGTTCCGCCTTGGAGGCATGTACCTACTAACACGACTTCTTCAGCCAGAGGAGCAGGGACTAGGCCACCTTGTCTTTGACCACTGCTGCTGGAAAGGTAGATGGAAATAGACTCTGGATAAGTTTTCTTTATGTTTCTTAATATTATTAAATAATATTATTTTGGCATTTAATATCTATCAATCATCCAGAGTTTTCAAATTCAGGTATTAAAAAAATTAAAATCAGACAAAACACAACTCAACTGCTATACCAGACTGCAAATCTTAAACTGGAGGAAAAAGCTTCTCCCTCTCCCACGGGGTGACTCGGACCAGATGCCTTTTTGTTTGCAGCATAATCCAATATACACTCACTATACCACCACAGTTTCTTTGTATTCTTTTCTCCTCTCTTCCTGAGAATCCTTTCCATTCTTTCTACCTATCCAAAATGATTGAGTTTATTGTTTGGTTCAAATTATTCTCAGTCCTAGGTTTCTAATAGGGAAAACTGGTGGCCTAGTGGCAAGAAGCTGCACTGCAATCCTGAAGGCACACTCTTCAAATCCACCAGCTTCTCCACTGGAGAAGCAATCTCCTTCTGTGCCCATTAACTGCCTCTGAAAATTCACTGGAGAGTCAGCTACCAGTCAATTCCAACTCAAAGGTACACAACAAAAGGTCTCTAGTAGAAATTAGATCCCAAGAAGGAAGCTAGCATAATTACACACAACGGCTTCAACAGTTTGACTACAGCAAAGGTGTGAAGAAGTTGAAGGATTGGGCAGTATTTCATTTTGCTATTCACAGGGTTACCATGAGTCAAGGAAGCTCTGGTAGCCTAATGGCAAGAAGCTGTACTGCAATCCCGAAGGTACATGATTGGAGGCCACCAGCTGCTCCATGGGAGGAAGGGCAATTTCCTCCCATGTGATTAACTGCCTCTGAAACTAGCTGGAGGGTCAGCTATGAGTCAATTCTGACTCTACGGTACAAAACAATAACAACCATGAATCAGAACAAATTCAATAGCATTTAATAAGATTCACTTCCAATGTGGCAGACAAACCAGTCCATCTCAGTGCTGAGACGTGACTTACTTATAAGATTGTTCCTACTTACGTTGCCTAAGCAGACTGTCCTGTGTCAGAAAAGCCTAATTCATTCAGGGGCTCCCTGGGACTATAGAGTAGCAGATCCCATTTCTTACTGGCAAATTGTGGTGCTAATCTTTATCACTGACTATTTGATGGACTAGCAAAAGAAAAAACAACTCTGTGGAGGACATGCAACCAGCGTGTTCTTTAGAGCCAAGGATGCTCTTGAACACTCTGGGCATGTTGTCAGGAGGGGCCAGGAAAGATAGAGGGTCTAAGAGACGAAGAACCCCGACAAGATGGCTTGATACAGTTCTTAACAATGGGCTGAGAGCTTGAAGATGTAGGATAGGCAAGGTTCAGATCTTTTTCTCCTAGGGTTGTAGTAGACTTGATGGCACATAATGACAATCTAGATCAATGCTTCTCAATTGAATATTTCCCCCCACTGAGAACATCTGCAAAAGTCTAGAGACATTTTAGGTTGTCATACCTGACACTTAGCATCTAATGGGTAGATGCCAGGGTTGCTTCTAACCATACTATGTTGTCAGCCTCCCTTAACTCTATAAAGAATTAGCCTGAAGATCTACCATTGACTTTTGGTTTCATTCTAGAGCTCTCTAGCTGTTTCCTTAGAAAAGATGGGACCACTCCAGAGTCTGCACTGCTTTTCCTGAGGGCTATTGCAATTGGGGGGGGGGGTGTCTGAGTGAGACTGGCTCAGGTCAGGGTAGGCTTCAGAGCTGTTGTATGGCGAATAACACCATTGCTGATGAAGTTTTCTAACACCACACTTTTGGAACAGAAATTAATGAACTGAATTTGTTATTTACATGACAAAGCCTTTACCCTGTCTACAAAGAAACTATCCCATGACCTGTAACTCTTGGACATGCCCCATAAGCACATTATTTTCAGCTGTGGACAGAACAAATTATCTCTCTCTCTCTCTCTCTCACACACACACACACACACACACACACGTCCATGCAGTGGCTTCAACACCACACACACATCTCTATCGGAGTAAAGAGGATGAAGACACAAAGCTGTAGCACCTAACGCTGGCCAGAAATGACTTCACTTCGAAGTTTATTTTCAAAGATTCTCTGCATGCAGTATACTTTCTATGGAAAATAACTTTATCCCAGTTCAAATTATAATTTACAAATAAAGAATTGCGTTGGAAGCATCATTTATAAAATATCATACAGTTGGTCACAAAAATATGTAAGGAAATGAATTTTTTTAAAAACAGTTCAGGAGTAAAAAAGCTTTCTTTGGTTTCCTTTTTGCATCATTTTTAAAAAGTAATGCTGAGGGAATGTGTCTCTCAGTAAGTTGAATTTTTTAAATATATTTTTTAAAGTAATGCTTAACAAACCAGGAAAAGGTTAAAATCTTTTACAATGTGTTTGTGCTCATGTTCCTAAAAAATTAAAACCACAGACCAGTAACACATCAAAGTCTTAGAAACTTGTTACAGAGGCAAATCATAGAACATTAGCTTCATCTTAATAGAACACTTTCAAAAAAATCCAACAGCCACTTGTACTTTAAGGGGAAGGAATTCTTCCATTCAACAAATAGTTGAAAATCATTCACCAGGCACTGTGCTGGACAACTTTACCCCAAAGGAGAAAAACCTCACTACAGTCAGCTTGATTCCAACTCAGGGACACCTCTTCATCAAGTTTCCAAAGCTATACAGGAGACTGCCCCTTTCTCCCTCCAAGCAGCTGGTGGATTTGAACCACTGACTGGTCAGGAGTGTCACATGTAACATAACATTCCACCAGAGAACCTGCTGAAAACAAAAGGGTGTGCTTTAAAAGAAATAAAACATTACCAAAAATGGGTCTGTTTTATTGAAAACACATTTAAAAGAACACCCCAATCAATGAAAAGTCCAAAGATTGTGAACTAGAACAATGGTCACCAAAGGACTTAAGTAAAATGGTAGCAGAAATAAGGCAAAGATGCTGTCTCCTCTTGCTACTCAGGAAAACATCTCAGCTGATCATTTCAACCATAATCTTTGGTCCACAGGGAGCTGGAAGCACCATCCCCAGCCCAGTGTGGATGCTGGCTGCAGGACTGGACCTTGGGACTTGGGTCACTAATGTTTACAAGGAGTAGTAACATCTGTGGCACTAAGCTGCTTCACGGAATGGTCTAGAAGGTGCCTGGCACACAGGGCCATCGAGGGTGATCTTCTTGCTGTTGGGATCCAGCCTACTGCGAGCACTGGGGCAGAAATGGAGGTGATTCCTGAGCAGCAAACAGCTCTGGGATTGACACTGTTTCCTAGGACAATATTTTCAAAAACTTGATTGAAGTGAAGAACAAAATGTTAGCGATTTCATATAGAAATCTAGGTATTTGGATTGTCTAGCAAAAAAATACACTCAGAACAGCAGCCCAGGAGTCAGGCGAGGGCTCTGAGCCAGGCCTGGGCAGCCTGTGGTGCTGCTGGTCTCACACCCCTGGTACCCCAAGAGCAGTCACACAGACCAAGACCTCCTGAGCTGGATCTGTCCGCGGAGCCCTGTGCCCAAGGTCCAGGTGTGGCTTACACGTCGGTACCTTCACGTGGGTAACCCAGGCTGTTGACCATGCCAAAACCATAGAAGGGGCCAGGGAAGGGGCTGCCCTGGCCGCTAGAGGGGAAATGGCTGTAGTAAGGCCTCTGGCTGGCAGTCAGCGTGGTGTCGACCTGTGGGTCAGAGGTGGGAGGCTGCGTGCTGCTGGAGGGCGGTCCTGGGAGCCCGGGCTGGCGGGGAGGAGCACGCGGGGAGCTCCCACTGGCAGCACCACTGCCCACCGTGCCCAGGCTGCTAAGGAAGGCGGCCAGGCAGGGCGTAGAGGGTCCCCTGGAGCCTGGGGGTGAGGCACGTGGGGCATCCTCCTGGCCTGGGGAGCGCACAGGCCGTTGCACAGAGAGGCTACCACCCTCAGGCCTGCCCCTGAGCCCAGCCCCAGGCCCTGGTGTGGGCCCTTCTTCTGACTTTTGGGGCCCTGTCGCCACCGTGGAGCCACTGGCCTCTGAGCGGCGCTTCCTCTTCCTACGGAAGTTGCCATTGTCAAACATTTTCTCACAGTTGGGATCCAGGGTCCAGTAATTGCCTTTTCCTGAAAGATGAGAAAGGAAAAAAATGAGTTCAAAAAGGACCTGCTTTTTGCTTGCACACTCTGGTTATGGAGCTCTGGTGTCCAAGTAGTAAAGAGGTGCACTGCCACCAGATGACCCACGTGATTTACATCCTCAGAAAAACCACTGAAGGGTCAGCTCTGAATGGATTCTGACCCAACACCAGGTAGCAACACTATGAGTGGTGCAAGTGGTTAACATGCTTAGCTGCTAACCCAAGGCCAACAGTTCAAATCCACACAGAGAAGCTTGGTAAGAAAGACCCAGTGCTCCTGAGAAGGCCAGGGGTGAAGCTCTGACACATTTGGCATCATCATGCATTTGGGAATTTTACTTATTATTTTTAAAATAGGGAGGGAAAATATAGGGAGAATTACCTATCTTCTAACCTAGCTTTGAGGATTGTTGTTGTTATGTACCAGAAGGTCAGAGCTGACCGATAGCTAACCCTCTCGTGGGTTTTCAGAGGTGGTTAATCAAAGGGGAGGAGACTGTCCATCCTTTTCCTGCTGAGCAGCTTGTATTTAGCCTCCAACCCTGTGCTTTCAGGACTGCAGTGCAGCTTCTTGCCACAAGGCCACCAGAGCTCCTTGGCTGTGAGGTTTACTTGTTAAAACAGAATTCCCCATCCTGGGGCAAGGAGAAACTTGAGGTGTAACTCACAGTGACCATATCTGGCTCAGTAGACCTGTCCCATAGCCATTCTTATACTGTAATTCTTAGGAGGGAGCTCTGGTGGCCCAGTCGTTAAGTAGTTGCACTATCAACCCAAAGGCACAAGGTTCAAATCCACCAGCTGCTCTATGGGAGAAAGAGCTGTGCAATTTAGAGGCTCTGAAAATTCACTGGAGGGTCAGCTATGACTCGGTTCCAGTTTGAGGGTATATAATAACAATCCTTAAAGGCACTGATTAAAGAGTCTCTCTCCAGAGAGCCTCTGGGTAGCTCCTCATCACAGCTGAGAGTGTCATTGTGCCACCAGAGCCTGCTTACAGAACAATGGGTTTAAATTTCAAACTTGAGTACCCAGGCACTCAACCATGGTCCCATAACAAACAAACAAAAAAAGGTACCTTTAAATACTGATCTTGCCCAAACAAAAATGGTATTAAAAACCAAAACACTGCTGTTGAATCCACTACCTTTCATGCACTCCTGGATTTTTTTACATTCACAGCACAAGGACAACCCCGTAGCCTCCATATCCCTCCTCACCTGGGGCAGAAGCCAAACTTGCAAGCCTCCCCTCTGCTGGGCAAATCAGAGCCTCAGCTAAGGCACCCATTGTTCTTCTAGGAAGTCTCTATTCACCACAGTGGAGGTAGGAAAAATCTACTTTGGAGAATTTTCTCTCCCAACAGCTTTTGCACTTCTGGTCAAGAGTCCCTTGATATTTGAAATTACTGTTGACCACCATGTATGTTGTAGGACCGGAATGGACTCAGCTGATCCTCCAGTGGGCCTTTGTTGTTGGTATGTGCTATCGAGTCCAGGTGACTCATAGCCTTGCTCTATGCTATGCCATTCTCACTGTCTCTGGCACACTTACCCCCATTACACCAGGGACTGAATCAATCCATCTCATAGATGCATCTTCCTCTCCTGTGCTCCACCCTCCCAAGCATGAATGAGGTCCCTCTCCAAGGACCAGTCCTTCCTTGCAACAAGTCCAAAGTATGCCAGACGAAGCTTCAAAATCCTTGCCTCCAAGGAGTAGCCTGGTTTAACCCTCTCTAGACATCATGCTTGGTAGGGTAGAGGGACAGCACAGGAGGGAAGACCCTCTATGAGGTGGATTGATTCAGTGACTGGGGTAATTGGGATGGGTGTGTCAGAGGCAGTGCGATTGGCACAGGATAGAGCAGGGTTTAGGGCTGTTGTACATAGGGTCGCTATGAGTCGCGAACGGCACATAACAACAACAGGATGAATCTGTTAGCAGTCCATGGTATAGCCAATACTCTTCAACACCACAGCTCAAAGGCATCAATTGCCAGTGGGCTTTTTTTTTTTTTTTTTTTTTTTTTTTTCAGTGGGCCTTTTGAGGATGTAAATCACACAAAAGGAGATTGCCCATCTTTCTCCCATGGAACTCGTGATAGATTTGAACCTCTTGCTTATGGATTTGAAAGCACAACTCCTTACCGAGTAAGCCACCAGAGGATATATCTTCTAAAACTACAGGTTGTGTCTACAATACTATAAATTAAGCTGACAAAAGGAGATCTGATGTAGAAAGGTCATAGGATTTAAGACTGTTGAGCTTGATTGATTGAAAACATTTTAAATGCTAAATATCTCATTAATTTCTATATTTAGTTACATGCTGAAATAATACTGAGAATTTACTGGGTTGACTAAAAATTTTGTTTAAAAATACCATCTTTCTTAAGTTTTTCTTAAACGTAGCTTCTGGAAAATTTATCTTGACTTGATCTTTGCTTTTGGGCACCTTCAGGTACTGACTCTCAGCACCGCAATATACTTAGATAATTAGCATAATCCTGGGTGTCAGCAGAGCTCAGTGCTACTCTGATGGGCCCAATGTGACTGGGGCAGAACTTTCTAGGATTTCCCCTGAGCATGAAAGTCAATGCAAAGCACTAACCTTTAGGCATTTACCCACTATGTTCCATGCGCCCTGTGTATGACCAAGAGTCTTCGCACCCTTAGGCCTTTCTAATCCTGGAAGGCTCCTCCAGCCCCCTCCTCCATCGCTGTGGCTGCCCACATAGCATCGGGCTGCAATGTCTTCCCCGACAAGATTTACAGCTAGCCCAATCAATGTGTGATCGCCAAGAGCCCTAATCCACTCCAGGGTGGCGGGCTTCTTTCTGGAACCCACCCTAGGCTGCTAATGGAATGCTTCTGTAGGCATTACTGCCTCAGGAAGTCAGAGGGGCAGGCCTACTGTTAGTGTGATCTGAAATCCACCGGACACCGGCTTGTTTTTCCGCAATGTGGGGAGGGGGTGGTGTAGCACCCTGCCTCCACATTTCACCTTTTCGTTCTTGTTTAGCTTTTCTCCATGGGCACCTGTCCTCGCCACATGAGTGAGAAGCCCCGCGTAGCCCATACCACCACCCACAGAGAAAGAAGCCAGTTGGAGGTGTTCATTTTGATCAATCTCGAAATAGTTAAGGTACAAAAATCACAACTTGCTGCTAAATTCTACTGTCTTTTTGCTTCTGTTTGCCTCAAAGCACCTCTCTCAAGGTAAGCGCGGTACCTGTTCTACTTAAAACAGATGGCGCAGAGGACGCGCACCTCGGGGTCTCTCTCCTTGCCCCTCAGGGGATACCGGATCTTTTCTTTCACTTTTTCCCCCCCTTTGACCAGGGAAACTTGCTGTTCTCACGCCTGGTCTCGCCCCGCTTAAGTACACGACAACGGGGCAAGTCCTGTTGAGGACGCGGCTTTGGGGAGCCGGCCAGGCTCTAGAGGAGGAGGCGCCCTGCGGGTGGCCGTGGAAAGTCCGGCTCCACGCCACGGTGTCCCCTTTGAAGCGCCGCGGCTTCCCTCCTCCCTCACCGCGACCAGAGGTTGGCCCACCTGACCAGAGAGGAAGGGTCCCGGAGGACTCCCTCTGGGGTGCTCTAAGCCATCCACGTAGACCCTCTCCCAACGCGCGAAAACCTCACCTGGGTCATCCTCGTCGCGGGGCACTTTCTTGAAGCAGTCGTTGAGCGACAGGTTGTGACGGATGGAGTTCTGCCAGCCGGCCTTGCTGCGCTGGTAGAACGGGAAACTGTCGGCCACGAACTGGTAGATGTGACTGAGCGTGAGCTTGCGCTCGGGCGCATTCTGGATGGCCATGGCGATGAGCGCCGAGTATGAGTAGGGTGGCCGCACCATCTTCATGAGGTCCTCGCGACTGGCCGTGGACAGCCAGGTCAGCTCTCCGGCCCCAGTCCCAGGAGAAGCGGGCGCGGCAGGCGCGGAGGGCGCAAAGGCGCGCTGCACGCAGGCGAAGGTGCCGGCAGCCGCGGGAGGCTGCAGCAGGGGCGCAGCCGCGGTGGCCGGGGCCGGCGGGGGGCTCAGGTAGGCGGCGGCCGCCGGGGCCCCCACACCCGGCGCGTTGAGCCACAGGTAAGGGTTGGCAGTGCGCGGGGCGGCGTAGTCTGTCAGCCCGTAGGGCGCCCGCACGGCCGGAGAGGCGCCTGGGGCGGCCGCGCTGGTGGGCGGGGGCAGAGGGGACTGCGAATACGCCCCGAAGTTGTCCCCGCAGTAGAGAGCCATGTCGGCGGCCGGCGGCGGCTGCGGAGCGGTGGCGGCGAGTGGCGAACGCGGCGGGCAGAGCCAGTCGGCGGAGAGCATCCCTTGGCAGGCCAGCCTAGTGGTCGGCACCGGAGGTCCAGGTGCGCCTGCCGAAGGAGTGAGCAGACGGTGAGCGGGTCTGCGGCCGCAGACCTTTATAAGCCGCCGCCGCGCACCTCCTCCGCGTCCCGGGCCTTGCACGCCAGCGGGCGGGTCCCTTCAGGTCCTGGTCCCCCTCCTTGACCCGCCCCACCCCACCCCACCCCGCCTTTTGGGCCTCGCCACGCCCTCCTCGCCCGCCCGTCCTGGCTGGTCCCTCCACGCGTTTGGGCCCGCGCGCGGTGGGCCCGCGACCACACTCTGGCCCGCGTGTCGTGGCTCCTCCTGATCCTCCAGGTCGTGGATTCTGGCTTTCAGGTTTAAGGAAGTCAGATGCCTGGCTAGTGTGTCCTTTACTCTAGAACAAAATAAGGAGTGCTAGAACAAAAGGAAAATACCCATGTGAAAAGGCTTCCTTTAACTTTCCGATATTCTACCTCAAGGCTCTGATGAAATTGCAGGTTTCAGGGGCCGCTCTAGGCGACTGTGAAGTGTGTTAATGGGCTCCGCCAGTGTGTCGCCTTCTCCCTGGGGCTCCGTGAGCCCCAGGCGGCTTTGAATTCTGCAGTTCCATGAAGCAAACTATCTTCTTTAGCATGCGTAAAGTACGTGGTCATTTATTTCAACGTCTGGTCTTTGGGGTCCCTAGGGTTTCAACTCAAAAACAAAAGTAAACTTTTTCAAAGACATTTGTCAAGTGGTTTGGGAATTAGTGTTTTGAAGCCTACTGTAATTTAAACTACAGCTCGTTTACAGAAACCAGCTCATGGAATTATGGTTTACGCTTGGCTTTTGCATCCCTTAAATCGCGTCTCCTTGCCTGTGAAAACGAATTTCAATTAATATTATAAGGCAAAATGTTTGTGAATGACGGAATTTAAAAAAATGTACATGATATGTAAACTCTCACTCAAATTTCAAAATAATAAAATAAAACAAAAAAATCAGTAAAATACCGCATGCGTTTTTGTCTCCAACAATACCACCACCATTTTGTTGTATCTAATTATATTTATTGTCTTCAAATAGTAGTAACTAAATATATTTTCTTATAGTGCCAGGTGGGAGGTTCTCATTTGAGGGATGAGAAGGCAAACTTTCCCCCTTTTTTTTTCTTTTTCTTACTGTTGTTATGTGACATCAAGTCTCCTGAGACTCATGGGGACCCTGTGTACAAAAGGTCTGAAGCCTGCCCTATCCTGAGTCAGTCTCACTGACTCAGACACATCTACCCACCCCACCCCCCACCTGCCCCATTACCCCAGTTACTGTGTCAATCCATCTCATAGGAGTCTTCTGCTCCTACACTGCCCCTTCACTCCTTCTTAGCATGGTGTCCTTTTCCAAGGACCAGTCAGTCCCTCCTGGCCACATGTCCAAAGTTTGTTAGGAGAGCTTCACAGTCCTTGCCTCCAAGAAGCAATTTGGTTTCACCCTCTCCAAGTTTTTCCTTATAAGTTTTTCTTACTGTTGTTTGACAATTTCAAATGAACCATTTGACACATTTTGTAATTCTTATACTTCTCTCAGAGCATTCATTTTCATGACAAAGTTATTAGGTATTCTAAGGAAATTATCATCTTCTGATACTTCCCCTCCTTTAAAAACTCAATCCAGAAGTAGTGGCAAATGTTGACAGTTGAGGTACAACTTCAAATTAAATTTTAGTTGTCTTGTTTTTGACGTGGTGAAAATATAAGGCTGCTCACTGCAAGTTGGTCATAAGCACAAGCATAGCCCTTGTCTAACTGGCTTGTTTGGTAAGCCATCTCTGAAGGGAAGGAAATAGTTACTTTGTCTACTCTTAGGGTGTTAGGGTGCAGGAGAACAAGGCATTTTTAAGGAGGTACAGTGTCCACATGAAGGAGCCCTTGGTGGTGCAGTGTTCAAGCACTTGGCTGCTAGTGGAAAAGTTTGGATCTCCAGCCTCTCTAATGTAGGTGGTCATAATGAGCTCTCTCTACAGGGCACAGCCTTGGAGACCCACGAGGCTCTGTTCTGACAGGGTGTCTGTGACTCTGAATCCATTTGAACGCAGCAAGTTCTTTAAATGCCCATATTTAATATTTGTTCTTCAATTTAAAAATCAAAGTAGAAAAGAAAGTTCCAAAGAAATGTGAGGAACTTGTTGTTGTTGAGTACCATAGAGTCGGAACCACCCCATAGCTGATCCTCTGGCCGGTTTCAGAGGCAGTTAATCGGGCAGGAGGAGACTGTCCATCCTTCTCCCACGGAGCAGCTGGTGGATTAGAATTGCATTGGGAAATCAGCTGTCAGGGACTTCTCCAGAGTACTGAAGAGCATCAACATCAGTCTGGAGACTAAGAGGCACCTTATCCAGGCTATATTCTTCACAGTTGCTTGCTATGTATCAGAGAGCTGGCCAATGATTAGAGATGATAAAAAGAGAATTGAAAACTTTGAACTGTGATTCTAGAGAAGAGTATTGGATATATCATGGACTACCAGGAGAAGAAAGAGGTTCTTGTATATGGAGTGAGGTGTGGATCTTGTTTGAGTCTTTTGAAGATACTTTTCCAATTTTGCCAACACCATTTGTTAAAAAGGCTATTGTTTCCCCCCTTAACTGATTTCATTTCTTCGTCAAAAATCATTTGGCCATAGATAGATGGGCTGATCTACGGGTTCACAATTCTATTCTATTGATCTATGTGTCTGTCATTGTACCAATACCAAGCTGTCTTAACCACCACGGCAGTGTAGTAGGATTTGAAATCAGGGAGTGAGATACCTTCTACCTATGAACAGACACTTCACCAAAGTAAACATTCAGATGACTAACAAGCACATAAAGAAATGTTCAAAATCCTAGCTCTAAGAGAGATGCAAATTAAAGTAACGATATCATCTCACCTCAGTAAAAATAGCAAAATTTAACAGAACAGCAAGCAACAAATGCTGGCAAGGTTGTGGAGAAACTGAAACCCTTATTCACTGTTGGTGGGAGTGTAAAATGGTGCAACCACTGTGGAAAGCGGTATGGCACTGCCTCAAAACGTTGTAAATAGAGATACCACTTGACCCAGCAATTCCACTACTGGGAATATACCCCAAAGAGACCATAACTGACATCCAAGCAGAGATAATGCACACCCATGTTTATTGTGGCTTTGATCACAATAGCAAAGAGTTGGAAACAACCTAAATGCCCATCAACAAACTAATGGATAGAGAAGCTGTGGTATATTCACCCAATGGAATACTACGCTGCATTGAAAAACAAGGAACTCATGAAATATTATTCAAAATGGGTGACCCTGGAGGACATTATGTTGAGTGAAATATCTCAGTCATAAAGGACAAATACTGCATGGTGCCACTGTTGTAAAACAGGACTGACATCGGGGTTGGGGGGAGACTGAGAAAGATAGGTTCAATAATGTATACTGCATTGAGATATATGAGAGAGAAAACTGTTTAAAAGGTATATGTAATTAGGTATTTTTGTCGTGACACGAGTCCAGAGCAAAGGTTGCACAGTGGAGTGGACCTGGGGGGAGGGAATGTAAAATAATGAAAGAATTTTTCTTTTACTTTTTTTCCAAGAGTGTAGTGTACTAGGGGGGGAGGGTTGGGAGGGGAGTAAAATGCAACAGTGAATGAATGGAAATCCAAAGTTTCTGTAAATTTTCATTGAAATTAATAATAAATTTAAAAAATAAAACTACTTCCTGGCACAAATTATTCGAAAGGTCTAACCTGAAGAACATATTACTGCTTTGGAAGCTCTGTTCTGCTGTGTTCTGTGGAGTTAATATGAATCACAAAGCATCCCAGGCAATGGCTGTGTGTAGCTACAGCTTAAAGGGACAGCGCCACATAGTGGATATTGGCTTCTGTTACAGTACAGGATCTGTGAGATGGACATCACTCTAGGGGTTAAGAAGTTATGTTTCCCTATCTATTTTTTAAAAAGAAAATTTGTATATTTTCATGTTGAGACTATATGAAAAAACCTACACCAACCAAACAGTAATCATTCCCATCTTTTTCTTAATTGCTTCTCCCCAGTAACAAAAACTACTGTGACCTCTAAGGTGCACTTAGGAGCCCTGATGAGCATTGGTAAGTCAGTGGTTAAGGATCACTGGTAAGCCTTGGTGACACAATGGTGTTATTCGAGTCCACCAGCTGCTCCCAGGTTACTTATAGTCTCTGGAAGCCGTAGTCAGCTATGAGTTGTTTCCAACTCGACAGCAGTGATTTTGAGCATCCCTGGAAGGGAGCTCCAGTGGCTAGTCCATAACAGCACAGCTAACCTAAAGGTTTCTCATCTCCAGTAGTTCTGTTCCACAAGTGGGTCTATGGCAGAAAGGTCTGCCTCCTCTCATGGTGATTGATAGCCTCAGAAGCCTGAGGGCAAGTGGCTATGGGTCAGAGCTCACCAGATGGCAGTGAGTTTGAGGACCCTGACAAACCATCTTCAGGACACATGTGCTAAGCTGCTTAGTGAAAGTTTAGCAGTTCAAATCCAATAGCTTATCCACCCAGGTATAAGTTCAGGTTTTAATACTGTTTATTTGTTAATAGGTGACATCAAGTCACTTCCAACTCTCATGTATAAAAGATGAAATTGCCTCCTCCTTTCATCCTCACAGACATTGATATGTTTGAACCCACTATTGCAGCCACAGTCAATTAATCTCATTGAGTGTTGTCTTCTTTTCATAGACCATTTTGATTTTTTTCTTTCTCTTCTTTCTTTATAATGACCTGTTGCTCTCTTGATGGATGATATCCTTGGTGTCATCTCACAACTCATCTGGTCTTCTTTGATCAATGGTGTTCCCTGTCTCAAACCTATTCTTCAGATGATTTTTTAATTCAGGTGTAATAGACTCAAGGTCATATTTTTACTTTCA